GCCACATGTCCTGGTTGGGACACCGAGATGATCTCGGCAAGGCCGAGGTTAACTCCGAAGATATCGGAATCCGAAATAAACGGATAAGGGACAAGAGTCCTAAGACAAAGAGGAGTCTTAACCAAGATAAGAATAAAGCTCTTAGGGAGTTTATCTTTATCTCTTAAAGAGTCCAAAGTAAGCACTAAATTGGAGTTCATAGAAGTCATACTTCTAGTAGGACTTGGATTGAGTATATTATAAAAGAGAGGCACTCCCGTGGGTCTAAGGTATGCAATTTATGTTTTGAGTATTAAGTTTTGCACTTGATTATCTTTGAGAGATATACTGACTTGATCGTCGGAGTGCCCCCGGGTGGAAGAACCACCGCCGGAACCTTTTCTTTCTGTTTCAGGTTGCTGAAAGCCATCTATTCTGCCTGTGCTCTCCAGTTGATCACTAAGCAGGCAGTGTGGTCAGATTTTCACCCACACAACAACATAAGATAACTAAAGAGTATTTGGATCATAACCAAAATAATATCATAACCAACATCACAATGAATCATAACTAATGCATAGTGTATAATCAGATCATTGGATTTAACCAGGCCCAAATCTACACCGGAACAGACTTGGGTTGGGCTAGGACATGAGTGGTAGAGTGCAATGCAGTCATCTTAGTAGAATCTTAGAAAGTTAGTCCTTCTGCTAGTCTAAAAAAAAAGACACTAACCAATAGGTCTCATATGTAAAATTCAAAATTTATTTAATTTCAAAATAAAATACTTGTATCAATTAGCTTTACATATTTTTAATTGTTATCAAAAAATCATTAATTAACTTTACATATTTTTAATTGTTACAAAAAAATTATCAATTAGCCTTACATATTTTTAATTGTTACCAAAAAATCATATTTTAAGGAAAAAAAGTTAAAGACACTGCTATATCCTCTCACAGTTGGGCTTCTGTTAGACGGCCACCGGAAGCTCATCAGAATGTTCAACATGATCGGGAAGTCACCGGAGTATCACCAAAGTGTTCTGAACGTTACTAGAAGTTGTCGGAATATCCAGAAGGTCAGTAAATGTCAAGAATATCGCCATAGACTCACCGAAATGTTCAGAATATTGTTAATAAAAAAAAATAAATAAAAAAATTAGAGCAAAAAAATATCAAAATGTGCTAAATATTGATAAACTGAAAGGAAAAAAAAAATCATAAAAAAACATAACAACAAGAAACATTAACAATGGGAAAAAATATAAGTTATTTTTCAATTTTTGTAGAGTTTAAGCAAATAATCTTCTATATTGATTAAACTGAAAAACATGCTTTGAAACTGCAAAATTGTTACAATCATTGGATTTAACCAGGCCCAAATCTACACCGGAACAGACTTGGGTTGGGCTAGGACATGAGTGGTAGAGTGCAATGCAGTCATCTTAGTAGAATCTTAGAAAGTTAGTCCTTCTGCTAGTCTAAAAAAAAAGACACTAACCAATAGGTCTCATATGTAAAATTCAAAATTTATTTAATTTCAAAATAAAATACTTGTATCAATTAGCTTTACATATTTTTAATTGTTATCAAAAAATCATTAATTAACTTTACATATTTTTAATTGTTACAAAAAAATTATCAATTAGCCTTACATATTTTTAATTGTTACCAAAAAATCATATTTTAAGGAAAAAAAAGTTAAAGACATTGCTATATCCTCTCACAGTTGGGCTTCTGTTAGACGGCCACCGGAAGCTCATCAGAATGTTCAACATGATCGGGAAGTCACCGGAGTATCACCAAAGTGTTCTGAACGTTACTAGAAGTTGTCGGAATATCCAGAAGGTCAGTAAATGTCAAGAATATCGCCATAGACTCACCGAAATGTTCAGAATATTGTTAATAAAAAAAAATAAATAAAAAAATTAGAGCAAAAAAATATCAAAATGTGCTAAATATTGATAAACTGAAAGGAAAAAAAAAATCATAAAAAAACATAACAACAAGAAACATTAACAATGGGAAAAAATATAAGTTATTTTTCAATTTTTGTAGAGTTTAAGCAAATAATCTTCTATATTGATTAAACTGAAAAACATGCTTTGAAACTGCAAAATTGTTACAATTTCAAAGCATGATTTTATTAAGCATTTCTCTTTATTAATCAAATTGAAAAACATGTTACGAAACTACACAAATTTTATTGTTTCAAAGCATGATTCATTTCAGCACAAAAAAACAGAAATTGTAAAATTTTATAATTTTTACCACTTATAACTAAAATTCGACAAAAAATTGTTTAAAATTTGAAATTTATCCATTAAAACATGAAAAGAGAAATGTGTAGCAAAGAAAAGTAAAAAAAAAAATTAAGAGATCAAAGGAGAGAGACTGACATAAAGAGAGGATTGTACTCTGGCAACTATTTTTTGTTTAGATTTGACAAGGTCTGATTTAGATCTGACAAGATCTGATGTAGATTTACTCATTTCCTTCGCTAAAAACTCATCTCCGAAAACTCAATTACTTATCTCTCTTACCGGAAACTCAGATCTGAGTATATCTAAGTAAATTAAAGCAAAAAGTCGGTGGTCGCCGCTAAAACCCCAATTCATGATGGTTGCTGATCGTCGGTGACTGTATATTATAAAGAAAAAGAAAAGAAGGAAAGCGTGGTTGCTAAATAGCAGAAAGAGAAAGATAAAAAAAAAAAAAAAAGACACGTAGGACCTTTGGGTCTACCCAAAAGGTTTTGGGATTAAATAGAGTATACCTCTTTCAAAGATGACTTGCAGGTAATTTGCCCCCCTCCAAAAAAAAATGTAAATCGCACTAATCTCCCATAAAAATTAGAGAAAATATAATAAGTCTCATAATTTTGATATAATTGTACTGACTTCCCTTTTGGTAAGACTAAAAAAACCAAAACAAATGCAATTAATGTAAAAGTGTTAACGCCACATTTAAACCCTTCAATCAGAATATGACACATGGCAAGCGAGGGGCATTGAATAATTACAAGAAGTCATTGAAGAGCCCTTATCTTCGAAGCTGCCCACGTGTAAGATTTCAACTGTTGGAACTGTTAATTCACATGTAAGATGCACACAAGAGGGAAGTTATCAAATGAGTAGTCATTAGCAATTACACATGCACAACCAAATGAGTGCCTCTAAGAAGTAACAAGAATGAATGAGATCATGGTGAGAGACAACAGTTCAACTGCTTCGAAGGACAAAGAGAATACTATAAATAAATGGAAGCAAAGATGAAGGAAGCCTCGACCAAATCCATACTATATGTCTTTGTCATTTTATTTAACTTTAAATTTCAACATTTACTTTTCAGCACTTACTTTCCATAGGAGTCGATCAATTCTTGTAATTCCATAACTCAGTTAAAGTTTCAAAATTGTCCTTACTAGAGGTAACATTTGTAATTATTTATTCATTTAATCAATTACATTTTCTGCCCAGTCTTCCCTCCCATCCTGTTTCGAATTCAAGTTAAAAATATTGGTTTTTCTTTCAACACACCGCAGTAAAGTCCTCTGTATTGAGGCTAAGAGAACTTCATCACAATCGTCTAATAAATTTGGTTTATTAAATATCTGTAAGGATTTTTCAAATCCTTACTGACACGCTCTAATTACATTTCTAACATTCAAAGTGTCAAAATAGCTAACAGAAAGCACAAAGACAAACAAGGAAAAATATACATTTTATTATAAAAGAAATGACAACATCGTTTTTCTATCAATTTGACTAACGAATTATTGATGAAAATAGGATAAATGTTATATAAATTAAAATCTTAAAGGAGTTTGATATAATTAAACAAAAATTGTGGTCCTTATTGTATTTTCTTTAAACTTTATCGAAGGCCATTATAATTTAATCGGGACAAAAAAAAAAACTAGTGCCAACTGATTCATCACACTTCTTTGCTTTCATTTACATATCATTATATTTTAACACCGTTAAAGTAATGGTGTTAAATGAACCAAATTACTCGAGTTTGATTCGTATTCAGCTCATTAAAAGATCGTTCGAGATTGAATCATTATATAAACAAATCAAACTTAAACATAATTTTAAACCCGTTAAGTTTTTAAACCAAATTCAAATAACCTACTACTCAGCTTAATAAGCTTATATGTATTATAAAAAATCAAGTTATTTGACCTTGACTCGTGTTTGTTTCGTTAAAAACTTGTTCAAAATGAACTCGTTATGTAAATAAAATAAGTTTAAATAAAATTTTAAACTCGTTAAATTATCAAAAACAAACTTGAACAATTGATTATTCGACTTGTTTTCGGCCCTGCTCGAAAGATTGACAACTAGCATATTCAATCAAAACCCAAAGAAAAAGCCCATTCGAGGAAAAAGCCTATCAGGCTGGGCCCACCGTCAAGCTTGGGCATGTTCTCATGGACTGGTCTTAATGGAATTGGGCTTTACATTCAATAGTGTCTGATATTAGATAAGGAAAAATGGTGAGCTTGGACTCACAATTTGTTCATACGGCTGGTTTGCGAATTTAGTTATTTTAATTGATTTTTTAACTATTTTAAAGATCATTTAGTAATAGGCTATTTTAGTAAATTTTTAAATTTTTATAAAAAGATATATAAAAAAGTAAAGAGAATGATGCGATAACTTATAATAATTTTTTGACTTTTTAATTAAAATATAGTTGATACATGAGACCTTGGTATAGTTAAAAAAAAGTTTTGTTTTGGATAATAGTTGAATTTTTTTTATAATTGATTTGATGATTATGAGAGAAAAAAATAAAATAATTATAATTTAAATGTTAAATTTTGTCTTATTAATTATTTTAACTTATTTTTATTTTTATCGATTATTTTAGTGTAAACTCAACTTCTCAAACACCTTCATTATAAGCTTCTAAGCCCAGTCCAATGTACCTAAATGGGCCTGACATAGCAGTCTTGCAGCCCATTCTCTTTCTCTCTCTGTCGTCGTCGGCACGTGCAAAGCACTCGCAGGACCAAACCAGATCTCTCTCTCTCTCTCTCTCTCTCTCTCTCTTCACTGTCTCGAAGCAGAAGATCTAAACACACAGAAGAGAAACGTTCGACATTTTTGATCTGCGAAGAAATGTCTCTCTCTCCCTCTCCTTAACAACTCATTCAAACAATCTAGCTCTTTTTCTCGATCTCACTATAATCCACAATTATATACATATACATATATATAGAGACAGAGGGAGATGGCTTTCATGGCAGTTTTGGAGTCAGATCTGCGGGCTCTCTCCGCCGAAGCTCGCCGGAGGTACCCCGCTGTCAAAGACGGCGCCGAACACGCTATCTTGAAGGTCATAGCTTCATTTTTTTGTGTGCATTTGAATGTCTTTTGAGTTTGTTGAGAATGATCCTTCTCTGGGGTTTTGTTAGTTGCATTTAGTTTCGTATATTGTTTTTGTTAGATGTAAGTTGAATTAAGATCAAGTTTCGTGAAATTCGAATCTTTGGTTGATCAGGAGGGTTTCAATTTTAGTTGAATTTGGTGGTTTAATGTGGAAAAGAGTTGTTGATGCTCTGTTTGCTTGCTAAGAAATGCAAATTACCTATAGTGGAATAGAAGAGAAAATGGGTTGTAGTTTGATTAAAGTCAGGTAGTTGAATTGAGCTGAGCTAATGAGACATGTAGAGTCCAATTTTTTATTTCCTCTATTTTCCTTCGTTTTCCTTGCAACCCGGTGGAGCTGAAGTAGTTGGTTGATGTTACAAAAAGTGATGGTTTAATTTGAGTTGTGGCAATTAAAGAATATTGTATTGGCATTGTTGTGGTTGCATGGATGGATCTCGAGACTGAAATTTATTCTTGGTTTGATGTTGAATTGCAGCTTCGGTCATTGTCAAGCCCCAGTGAAATTGCACATAATGAGGATATACTACAGATCTTTCTGATGGCTTGTGAGGTCAGAACTGTGAAGCTGAGTGTTATTGGACTTTCTTGCTTGCAGAAGCTCATATCTCATGATGCCGTTGCTCCTTCGGCTTTGAAAGAGATACTAGCTACCCTGAAAGATGTAAGTGCAAATGTATATTAGTTATACAAAATATGTTTATTTCCACTTTAATAGGGACTTTTTAAAAAAAATAATTTTTATTTATGTACCATTACAATAGCGTGAATGGTTGGAACAACACTTTCAGTTTAATGTATTTAATACTGTCGGGTTTGAGAGAACTTGTAATGCATGACAATGTTATATTATTGTATTTTAGGGTTGTACTACATGAGAATTACCGGATAACACTATAGCAGAAAAATGTTCAGCGTACAAAACCTGACAACCAACATTTAAAAATACTTGTAAGGTCACTTATGAACATGAATCCTAATATGAATATGCATGTAAATACTAGGGCATTTTCTATAAGTGACGCATTCCACCTGCCTTTGGGCATTTCGAAACATAGGCGAGGGCTTTTGCATCGGCACCCTGGTGCAATGAAAAATAGTCAAGGATTGTCCCCGTGCTTTTTTGGATGAGCACGGGTAAAGAAGTTTGCCCAAGATTATAGGTTTAGGTTTAGGTTAGTAACTTCAAATATAGGAACACTAAAAGGTAAAACGGTGAAACTAGTAGATACTACGATTAGAAGGGAAGTTAGGATGATATGTTTACATGAAACTAAGTTTGCAACAACTATAGATGTATCAAGGAGGGGTATCTTGGTTAAAAAATTCTAAGATTCTAATGACTAGGAAAATGTTTGATAAGTGGTGAAAAAGTATTTTAGTACCTATATATAAAAAATAAAGGAGATATCCAACGTTGCAATAATTGTAGATGTATTAAGTTAATGAGAGTGATTGAACACCGCTTAAGGGTTATAACAACAATTTCAGAGAATTAGTTTGGATTTATGCCTAGTAGATCAACTATGGAAGCGATAAATTTACTAAGAACATTACTAGAAAAGTACAGAGAAATAAGGAATGATCTATATATGGGTCTTATAGATTTAGAAAAACTTATGATATGGTGCTTAGAGATATAATGTGATAGGTGTTGGGAAAAGCAGAAGTGTGACCAAAGGGTATATTTATACAAAAAAAAGACATGTATGATGAAGTTTTGACTGTGATTAGATCTCCTGTTGGAGAAACTAGTGAATCTCCAATCACTATAGGGTTGTATCAAAGGTCAGCTTTGAGTCTTTTCTTATTTACCTTAGTTCTGAATGAGTTAACTAAATTCATTCAGGATGATATTCCATGGTGTATGTTGTTCGTAGATGAGGGGCAGCCGGGGGTGGCAGGGTTGGAGTTTAGCGTGCTGTTTGAGGAGGACACTCTAGTTTTGAAACATCCTTTTTCTGAGGAGGTGGTTGGGACATTGAAAGGGATATGCGGTGATAAGGCCCCTGGCCCTGATGGTTTTTCGTTGGCTTTCTTCCAACATTGTTGGGAGGTGGTTAAAGAGGATGTTATGGCAATGATGGGGCATTTCTATTAGTTGGGTTAGTTTGAAAAGAGCTTGAATGCTACGTTCATTGCTTTGATTCGAAAGCTATGCTATTAGAAAATGCTAATACTCTAGCGAATTACGTATTGGTACGCATATTTCGAAACATGGTACATTTCCATTTTAAAATGATAAATTTAGTGATCCAAAGCGATCCTAAAGTTTTTTTTTTTTCAATATATGTCCTTAAATGTTACCTTAGGAGTAAAAAATTCAAATATGATAGAACTAAAATTTGAGGTAAATTAAGTTTTGACAAGACAAAAAATCAAAAAATTGGTCATACTGCTCATAGAAAGTATTACATTTTATTGGATATCTAATAGTTAAAAAAGAAATTACTCTAGAAGTACTTTAAATTCTTAGGTATAATATATACAAGTCTACCCCTATCGTACCACATTTTAGAACACGTGGCGTACCTTGTTCCCATTCCTGTTCCCCTTCTATATATTAGAACGATCCACGTTCTAGGTAACATAGTTCCGAAGGGTAAGGGGTGCAGAGGATATTCGCCAATTCAGACCTATTAGTTTATTGGGGAGTGTGTATAAACCTTTGGCCAAGGTTTAGGCCAACAAACTTAGGTTGGTTTTGGGTGTTGTGGTTTTTGGGTCTCAAAATGCTTTTGTGAGAGGTGGTCAGATTTAGTATGTAGTTTTGGTGGCAAATGAGTGTGCTGATTCTTAAATACGTGAGGGTCAACCAGGGGTTATTTGCAAGTTAGATATTGAAAAAGCGTATAATAATGTCAACTATGAGTTCTTATTATTAGTAATGGATTGAATGGGCTTTGGTGAGATGTGATGGTGGATGCATTTTTGCATTTTTACTGTAAAGATGTTGGTTTTGGTAAATGGAATGCTGGCGGGGATTTTTTCCAGACTTTTTGAGGGTTGCGACAAGGGGATCCATTGTCTCCTCTTCTTTTCATTCTAGTTATGGAGGTGTTTAGTAGGTTGTTGTTTCAGGAGGTGCAGGAAGGCTTATTGGAAGGTTTTCAGGTAGGGGCAGTGCAACGGCTTGGTAGTGATCTCTCACCTTTTGTATTTTGATGATACTCTGATCTTTTGTGGGGCTTCACCAGACTAGTTGGGCTATTTGTGGTGTATTTTGTTGTGTTTTGAGGCAGTTTCGAAGCTGAAGGTGAATTTGGCAAAATCCGAATTGATTCCAGTTAGGGACGTGGGTCAAATTTCCACTTTGGTTGTTATCTTGGGCTGCAAGGTGTCTTCTCTTCCGGTGTCTTATTTGGGTTTACCTTTGGGGGCTTCTTTCAAGGCTAAGCAAGTGGTGGAATGAATTAATTGAAAGGGTCAGCGCCGTTTGGCGGATTGGAAGTGTAGTATTTGTCAAAGGGTGGGAAGTTAACTTTGGTTAAAAGTGTTTTGGGGAGTATTCCGACCTATTTTATGTCGGTTCACGTTATTCCAGTCTCAATGGCTCGTTATTTGGAAAAATTGTAGTGAGATTTCTTGTGGGGTGGTGGTGGGCAGGAGTTTAAGTACTATTTAGTTAGTTGGGAGCGGATTTGTAGTCTGAAGGAAGTGGGGGGTTTGGGTTTACGACGGTTGGGCAAGTTTAATTCTGCCTTGTTGGGGAAAAGGTTGTGGAGGTTTGCTTGGGAGAGGGATAAGTTGTGGCGTCGAGTGGTGGCGGCGGCAGTGGCAAAGTATGGGGTGGGTTATGGTGATTGAAGTACAAGGGATGTGAAGGGGTCTCATGTATGTGGGTTGTGGAAAGATATTTGGTTGGGGAGGGTAGAGTTTTGGGAACAAGTTTGTTTTCGGGTTGGTTCTGGTGTAAGCAGTGTTATTAAAGGCGATAGGCGGGCCTAGGCTCAAGGCGCAAGGCGAGGCGCAAGCTTCACCGAAGTGAGGCAATATAATTTAATATAAGTAAATAATTTAGGGTTCAACATAAACAAAATGAAATGTTTAACATTTAGTGTTTTTTGGAGATTAGGAATTAGGGCTAATTTTTCTTCTATCGTTGATTTGGGGTTGAATGCCCAATGTATTGGCATCTATAATAAGATTAGGGATCTTCTATAGTTGCACCATCTTATATCAATGGTCAGATTTTAAACAAAACCAATTAAAATAACAATAAAAAATAAAAAAAAACCTCAAGATGCAAGCCTTGGGCCAGTCAGGTGCCTTATCATAGTCGCCTGACTTGAAACACTACAAGGCGCAAACCTTGGGCTTGGATGGGCCTAGGCACACACCTAGGCGCGCCTTATGGAAGTCGCCTGGCCTGGAACACTACAAGGCGCAAACCTTGGGCTTGGATGGGACTTGGACCTAGGCACACACCTAGGCGCGCCTTTAATAACACTGGGTGTGAGGGTTCGGTTTTGGAAGGATTAGTGATATGGGGCGGAGGTGTTGTAGGATTGGTTTCTGCTGATTTTTCATCTCGCAATAGATCCAGATGCGACAGTGGCTTCTTAATTGGGGTGGCGGGGGTTGGGGTTGGAGATAGGGTGGTTTGGGATCTTACTCTTCGTCACCAGGTTCAAGATTGGGAGTTTGGGTAGATGGTGGATTTGCTGGCTTTTCTTTATAGGGTGCCAGTTGGAGGTATGGGGGAGGATGTCTTGTTTTGGGCAGGGTTGGGTTCCAAAGATGTTTTCTCAGTTTTTTCTTTTTTCCGGAGTTTATGTGGCTATAGCGGGGGAATTTCCTTGGCGACAGATCTAGGTTACAGGTGTTCCTTCAAATGTGACATTCTTCGTGTGGACAATGGCTTTTGACGGTATTTTGACTATTGATAAGCTGGTTCGTCGAGGGTATGTCTTGGTTAATTGGTGTTATATTTGTTGTGCTGCTTCGAAGTTGGTGGACTATCTGCTTGTTCAATGTCCGGTGGCTTCTCGTTGGTGGGCTCTTATTTACTCTACTTTTGGGTGCAGTGGTGCAACCCAAGGGTGTGTTGGGAGTCTTGTAGAGTTGGGTAAGAGATCGGATGGGGAAGCGTCGTCAGAAGGCTTGGGCATTGGCTCCTCTATGCTTGATGTGGCTCATTTGGCTAGAGAGGAATCGTCTTATTTTCCAAGAAGTTGTCCGTTAGGTGTTGTGGTTGGAAACAGAGTTTCTTCATGTTTTGTGCGGTTGAATGTCTAGGCAGGTGGATCCAGATTTGTTTACCTTTTTAGACTTTTTATATGATGTGATTGGTTGATTTGTTTGGTTTCGTTTGTTTTCGTATGGTGCTCCTTCTCTTGGGGGGTGTCGCTTTGTATTCTTTTGCATCTTGATGCTTTAGTTTTTCAATAAATTCTTATTTATCAAAAAATATATATATATATATATATATTTGTTCGAGTGGATGAAATTAAGGAAGGGATTAACACTAAACTAGAAGTCAAAAGGGTTTAAAATTAGTAGAAATAAAACCAAATATATGGAATGTAATTTTAATAATAGTAGAGGTAGAAATAATTAAGAAATGAAGATTGAAAATCAGGAGGTAAATTTTACTTGGGTTCGATTATTAATGAGGATGGTGAGGTTGATCACAGAGTCAAAAGAGGTTGGCTCACTTGGAGG